CAACTAAAGTCCAATAGTTAATTTATGCATGTTCACATGCACATGATATGCACAGGATGCAACACCCACTCCCCCCCCCAAAAAAAAAGAAATCATTAAGAGGAGGGGAGTAAAAAGCTAAGAATTATTGTCTAATGGGTCATTCTAGAGAAAACCACACCTCTCAAATTTCCTGTGTGGGGTTTTCTGGAATGTGGCCAGTTTTACTAACTTTAATTAGCTCTATCCAAATACATTCTACTGGTAGGGCAGTTAATGACTCACTAATTGTCATCAAGGGCCTTGCAGTTAGGAAAAACCACAATTTTGTAGTGATGGATGAAATCCAGTTGGAGAGCTTGACACCATTTCTTTAAGAAAACCATGTGCCCTAAATTTCTCAACTCTCTATTAAGCCCCTGGGGGGGGGGGGCTTAGTTTTTCCAGCACCTTGGAAATTGGGGCTTAAGAGAGATAGAGAGGGGGAGGGGGGCTTATATTATATAATTTTGTTCAAGCACAATACAATGTGGTTTGACAATTATTTAACACAACTGCATGTTTAAAGTCATGCAACTGAAAATAAAAGACAAACTTATGTTAAAAAACAAAAATACTATCAAAACAAATGTGGTTTGTTTATCGAGGGGATGCTTACACATTTCTTAATATAAAGGGGGTGGGGTATTAAAGAGGGGGCTTTTTTAGTGGGGGCTTTATAGAGTTTATGGTACTAGTAAATACCTCCAGCATGGCACATTTCATTCCACAATAAAAGCTAGTTTGCTGTTAAACTCTTTTTTCTCTTGGCATACCTTTAATTTATGGTATTCTTATTCGTTATACTAGCAATTGTATATTTATAAAGCACTTTCTACATACAAATGAACTATAATTTTTTCTTTGTACTTTTTGCAGCATTGTGACCATGACTTCAAAAAACAACGGTTTCGTGTCCAAGCAACCAAAAAATTCGGCTGTGGAGCCAAAATAAAAATGCGTGAGGTGATGAAGTTCCCACAATTATCTATTCCGGTATGTTTGCCCTATTGTCTATTCACTATGACTGAAACAGATAATTGCATGTTTGAAGGACTGTAATAATACTCTCATTTATACACTCTCAAGCGACTTAATATCGATCGAGAGTTGCTATATGTTATCACAAACCCTATTATATAAACACTGCAGAATACAGAATCTGAACCAATGGTATTTATTACTTGTAATTATTTTAATTTCAGATTGAAAATGATTCAAGAAAAAGGCGTAATGTGGCAGCAGCAAAATTGAAAGAAGCGTTGAAAGAAGATGCTAACAGTGGAGAAAGGAAGATTTACTTATATTTGCCTGGTGCAACAGACCATACTACGCATTTAAATGGAGAGGTAAATGTGATGTGCATTTTCACTTAGTGGATTCATTTAGTATGAAATTATGAACCAGTACTGCTTTTCAAGGCCTAGATCGATGGTTTTACACATCCTAGGATGCATTGAAGTTACTCCATATCCATAGGCAGCCCAAAATTGCGTGGTGTTCGTCTCTTTTATGAAAAAAAGAGAGCGAGCATGAAAGATTTTCACATGTGAGCTTTCAAAACATTTCAAAGCTCTCCGTGAGACTCTGACTTTCACAAAAGAAATGAACACCACTCATTTTTGGGCAGCTATGATAACCCAACAAAAATGGAAGTATTCTATATACATTTAACATTTTTAAGCACATTAATCCTGACATTTCACTCACACATTTAACTCACTTACAGTATGTTCGTTTCTAATGTAAATAGATATTACCAGTTATTTTGATTACATGTTATAAATCCATTTCATTTATCCAAACAATAAAATGTCACATCTCTTGTTTTCTTTAAAGGCAACTGGAATATCTCAGCCAGTCGACGAGAGAATAGTACAGAAAATTCGTAGTCTGGTTGGTGAGGGTGTCAATAATGTAAGAGAAATGGGCAGACATGTTCGACAGTTTGTTAAAAATGAATTGTTTAATGGACAGCAACTTCCACTCTGCACAAACAGGAGATTCCATCCGAAGATGGTGGACATTAGAAATCATATGTATCTGGCCACGGTAGAAAACCGCTTTTCCAAATTTGATCAGGAGAATGTCTCCGCTAAAACTGACAAGTGGGAAAAGGAAAATCCTGAAGACAAATTATTTTACAGGCCTTACCAAGACGGGGCCATTACGTTATCAACAGCCGTCACATCCGACGAAAGCAAGGAAATTGATGTGATTGAAAGTCAGGAGGAAATTGACATTGAAACACAGGAGGAAACTGACGTTGAAACACAGGAAATAAATCTCGGAAAGTCATTGTTATTCGTTCACCAGACTGCATGGCAGAGACGCTTGCTTGCTAAGTATGGAAATGACCTTTGCCTTTTGGACGCAACGTACAAAACCACACGATTTGCTGTTCCGCTTTTTTTACTGGTTGTAAAGACTAACGTTGATTACCAGGTTGTTGGTTCTTTTGTAACGCAAGGGGAATCGAAAGATTGCGTCTTGGAAGGATTGAAAGTGCTTTCAAACTGGAACCCAAACTGGAAACCAGCTTTGCTTTATGACAGATTTCAGCGAGGCAGAGATCAATGCTATCGAAGAAATATTCCCAGGTAATGTTGAACAAACTGAACACAAATTACACAACAGTCAGAGACTTTACGATTCCACCATACTCTACAGGGTGTAGAAAAAAAAACTGAACAGATTTGAAATTCCTCTCAATTTCGCAAAATACCTATTTGTATCCGGTTTTTTATATATATAGCTTCTTTGGGTACTTGTGATGTAGAATAATGAAAAAAATTTCTCAAACTCAAATTTTGTGAACCAGGGGGGTGTCTTTTCCAGCAAATGAAAAAGGGCTTGCGCACAAAATTTAAAAGCTGCAATCATATTTTGAGTTAACAGATGGAAAATTTGTCGGGTTTTTAATTACTGTACAAAATTTCAGACAATTTGGTTTAGTTTAAGCCCCTTAACTATTCACGCAAAGTTACATTTTTTCCTAAAAATCAGCTATTTGCATGCTTAATTAATGCATTTGCCTAATTTGCATATGTCAGCAATATGCAAATTATGTAAAGGCATTAATTAAGCATGCGAAAGGCTGATATTTTAGAATAAAATGAGTAGTTAAAGGTCTGATGAATAGTTAAAGGTCTCTGAATTTTGTACAGTAATTAAAACCTCAACAAATTTTCCATCTATTAACTCGAAATATAATTACGACTTTTAAATTTTGTGCGCGAGCCATTTTTAGTTTGTTGGAAAAGACACCCCCCCCTGGTTCACAAAATTTGAGTTTGAGAAATTTTTTTCATTATCAGTCTACATTATAAGTATCCAAAGACGCTATATATATAAAAAACCGGATACAAATAGGTGTTTTTCGAAATTGAGAGCAATTTCAAATCTGTTCAGTTTTTTTTATACACCCTGTATAGTACGTTTATCATACAGCATATTGAATATCATACAACCTACATAACTTTGGAACTTGCGTACTGTTCTTCGTGACAAAACAGCTAAGTGTATTGACTAAGACGGCAATAGGTTGTCTTTTGCATAACATTAACATTAACAACAAAATTAGAACCTCAATGTTCATGCAAAAATGCTTGTATACAGCAAAACTGTCACAATAACAAATGACTTAACAATACACCCTTCCGGAAATCACGTCATTTGGCTATATTGGATTTAACAAATCTCACATACACGAAAATGAGGCTCTGTAGCCAAATGACATAATTTCTGGAGGAGTGTATTATAACACCCTGTCCCTTTACTTCTAGATTGCATCGTTTACCTTTGTGACTTCCATCGAGAGCAAGCCTGGGAAAGATGGGTAAGCAAGTCAGCCAATGACGTCTACAGCCATAAGGAAACGTTATTAAAAGCATTGAGGAAAGTGGCTCATGCTGGAACAGAACAAGCTTACAATTCCGCCATGAATGATCTACAACAATTAGAGGTAAAACATAATGAGAAACAAAATGTAGTATAATTATGTGTATGCCTATACAGTGACATGTGCAGTACAGTATATGTGCAATGGCAATGTGACAACAAGTATTTAAATTATTGTTATCAATTACTGCATTGTACTTGTTGCAGATATGGAAAACTGATGGAAAATTGCAAAGATGGTTCACAAGAACTTGGTTGTCAGAATGCAAGGTAATGTATTGGTATATAAAGTATATAAAATATTAAGTAATTTACCTACTAAATACAATGATATAGGTCTATTGTCTATCGTGGTTAATTTTTATACTGTCTTTATCGTGGTAAACCTAATTTTTATACAATGTATACTACTTTCAGTTGTAAATCATGGAGCTCCTAATTGAGTGATAAAGTCTGTGGGCATTTATTTATCTGCCACTTGTGACACAATTCGTAAAAAATAAATAAAACTAAATCTTTGACAGCGTTGGGTGTGGTTCTATCGTAAATCTGATGAAAGTGTGTTCATTCATACAAACAATGGAGTAGAAAGACAGAATAAGGACTTTAAGTACAGTTTCTTGTCTACACATCGAGATAAAACACTCAGTGGTATGCTTACTTCCCTCGTAGAAGAATTCCTTCCAGACAAATACAGTAGGTACGGTACATTTGAAAGTACAATTTAGAATTAATTATTCGCCTAAATTTCACTTATCTTAGACCGCATACATACTGTATGCTGTAGTGGTGCAAGTTTCTCGGTACAAAATATAGGCTGGGGTAAGGGTGGCCGGACATTTTGCTGAAAGACACTTTGCCGAAAGACACTTTGCCGAAAGACATTTTGCCGAATGGACATTTTGCCGAACGGACATTTTGCCGAATGGACGTTTTGCCGAACGGACATTTTACCGAACGGACAAAATAGAGATATCTTCTGAACTTTGTTGGTTCGCTTACACGATCAAAATTTCTGTGATTAGAGTCATTGTCGATTTTGATGACAGAAACTTTGATAGTGAAGTATATAGTTTCGTTTTATATTCTTTCAAGTTTTTGACAAGTTTACCGAAATTTCGCGATATAAAGAATAACATCATTCAACATCATTGATGAATGCGATTTCCCAGAGAATTGCATGTGAATGTACAGTATTCCATGATTATCGAAGTGAAATTCGCCTACGTCGTTGTCTTTGTATATGCTTGTTTGTTTACGACCTCATGTCAAAACACGCTCCTAGCAAATGAGTCATCCGCTGCACAAACAAGCTACCAATAGTCAACATGGTTATGTACTGCTAATAACCCATTATGCACTGCTAATGACCAAAGTTGAGAAATGAGGCACAGTCCCAAACATTTTGATGAAATAGCATCTCTATTTTCGGCAAGTTTGTCCGTTCGGCAAAACGTCCGTTCGGCAAAACGTCCGTCGGCAAAATGTCCGTTCGGCAAAATGTCTTTCGGCAAAATGTCAAGGTACTGGGGTAAGTCTGGGTATATTTATATCAGTTGCATGGAAATGAAGTTCAAAACAAAAAACAATTTCACAGTGTGTTGCATAAACATGTAGTACACTGTTCGGGTAAGAAACGTCTTGCAAATTCCAAAATTAGTCCAGTTGGCACTCCACTGAACACCGCAAGGTTAGATTTCTAGGGTACAAGAGGAAATACCTCGACAATCACAGCTTGTACTGCCAAACTTGCAATTTACTTATATAGCATTTGCTATAAAATTACAGGTACATCGAAAAAAATGTTCGCTGTCATGAGAACTACAGGCGGTATAATTCCTTAATACCAAAATATCTCCTGAATCGACCAAGAAGTTTTGTTAAACACTGCATGTCAAAAATAACTGAGGCAGAAGATATTCCTGCTTCGTCTGTGGAATATGTCAAGGAAGATATGGGAATTTTTAAAGTACAAGGAGGACCTAGCACCTGCTACATGGTTAATTTTGGTCTTACGACTGGAGTTACACCAAGTTGTGAATGCCTGCCCTGGATGAAATGAAGGCTGTTATGCAAGCACTTCTTTGCAGTTTTTAGACACTGTCCCAACTGGGGATTTGATAAAATTTCATCACACTATACAAATCAAGCACATATAACCCTAGACGAACACGTTGTTACAGTCGCAAGAAATAACAGAGCAAGCGAGGATTGCCCTTTAACCCCAGCTTCAACTACATGTAAGGAAGAGAATGACAATATCCTACCTTCACCCAACCCATGCACAAGTCCAACTCCTTCTGAAACATCACCTGCAACGGATGTATTAAAACCTACACAGCTTATCCAGAGTAGCTTAAATACCATTGCACGACAATGCAGAGAAACTTTGCTTGATGCCAAGAACTTGACATATTTAATTCACGATCCAGAGATCCTTCGAGCTTTTAATACATCTCTGAGTGAGGTAGTAACAGTAATGAAGTCAAAAATCCCTGTTGATCATGGGCTGCTCCTGGAAAAGCAGAAAACCGCAAAAGAAAAGAGGATAGCAAAGTTACGTTTGAAAAAGAAGAAGGACAGTAGTTCGCATCACCTATCCAACCTACCTAAACAGCAAAAAAAGACACATCCTTACTCTCAACGTGTAGGAGCAAAAGCGGAAATGATGAAAAAAATGTTCCAGGTAAAATTATATATAGGGACATTAAAATTGATGGCATGGGATCATTGACCTGATCAGGTTGACTGTATAACGTCAAAGGAAATTCCCTAAAGGATGTAGATTATCACACACGTGGCCAAACTTATTTTTATATAATCATTTTAAACAGACTTTAAACATTCTTGATTATTTATCTTAGGTAAATGTTGAAATAAAAGAAGAAGGTGCAGTAAAGCCAGCCTGCCCTTTGAAAAGGAAAGGTCACCCCAATATGACTGAGGAGAGGAAGGCCAAGAGAAAATGTCCAACAGACAGAAGTAAGGTGAGAAAATGGGTCGCATAATTAGCAATTATTTAACAATTTCCTAGAGCTGCTGGATAAATCGTTCTAATTCGACATGAATTACCAATACAGTAGGTAATTCCAGCATAAGTGGTAAATTCAACAGTGGTAAATGCCAGACAGTGAATTACTGTACTGTACATGTTAATCAGAAACTTGGAGAGCGTATTACAAATCACACAGACTATATTACTCTGCTTAATTTACATTCTAGGTGGTTCCAAGCACAAATCTCGCCAAAGTAGATGGAAAACAAAAACTTGTGAATGAAGTGTGAGTAAATATTCTTGTAAATAGCAGAAAATCAGAAACACATGTACATCGCCACTTGCAGTACATGATGTACTTACTTATTTGACTTTTCACTTTACAGAACAGCATTTGAGTGCATTTTAAAGGCTCGAACAACAGAAAACCTTAATAAAATCCTACTTACGTATGGACCAGTGCCAGTGACATTAGGGAATCTCTGCACCATAGTCCCACCACATCGTCTGAAAAAGAAGGATAAAGCCGAGATAAAAAAACAATTGCCAAAGTTTGTTGCAGGATGGTTGAGTGATATGGTATGGTGTTGTAGTTACAGTGTAATCAATTCTATACCATTAACGTATTGCATGAGAGTATAAATAGCTATACTGTAATAAAAATGTTCAAGTGGCAAAACCAAAACTATTGCTGTACTGTTCAGGGCCGTAACTAGACGCGATAATTGGGAGGGGGGGTGAATATTCATATAATCATGTTCACATACCGTAAAAACAATCGCTTTCAAAAGAAATCCGTCGGGCAGAACACAAGTATACTCCACCCCCCATTTATCGCTCTAGTTATGGCCCAGATACTGTTCTGAAGTACAGTACTACTCAAAATCCATAACTTCAGCCTCTATATGTACAAAACTGTTTACATGAATATTAATAAGCAGATTTCATTGAATGTGTACTTTGAAGAAAAGCGGCCAAAATTACGTTTGTAACAGATGAAGATGTAAATTTTTCAATATCATCAGCTGCCTACCTAAATTTATTTGGTTTCTCTGTGTTATTCCAGATAATAGAAGCAGAACTTCATAGACTGGAAAAAGAGCATCCAGACTGCATTTCAGCTAACACAAGCGTTGAACAACTTGCAGTGCACGAGGTTAAAAACACAAAAAGACTTTGGATGAATGTGGACTTTGCAACCATAAAGAAGATCTTTGTGCCAATGAATCCCTCGGGTTGTCACTGGAATCTCTTGGTATAAAGTTGGACTTTCCAACATCACTTTTGCATTACATAACCAATGTCCAGTCCTATTGTTCAACTCTACTGTTTAGCCATCAGCAATAAAACTAAGATAAACACATAAAGCACATAAAGTTATAAAGATTACATTTGAAACATCTGTCACCAGATTAAGGTTTACAGTAAGCATTATAGATTTAAAACAACACAGTGCAAATTTGGAGACTTACAAGAATAGCATAATTAGCATTAGCATTTTCTTGAAAAACTACATATGAAAAAGTTCAAATGTTTAGGTTTTGGATGAATCAAACAAAACCAGAAATTATTTTGATCCAATGAATGGACAGAAAGAGGAAGATCTTACTGAGATGCCAAAACATGCTTGGTTAAAGTATATGATTGATAAAATATGGTTAGTACTGTCATAAGAGATACACTATTAATTAATTACATGCAGATTATAAAATCTCCAGTTGGAACAAAGCCCTGGGATATGTTACATCTTGAATCTTTAGTACAACTGATTTGTTCAGTTTTTAAGTGACAATTTCTGCATAATTATATATATTTACAATTATAGTGATCTTGTTGACAAAAAGACAGGTTGGAATACCAATACATGGCCGGGCATAGAACCACAACACTATTCACAGAAAGATGGATATAACTGTGGGATAATGGTTTGTGTGGTAAGTTAACTGGTAAGAAGATTTATGAGAAGCTAAGCTTCTTTCTTATAATTCTTATTTGTAATAAGGAAAACGCACTAAGATAGACTCAAACCCACAACAATTTACATTCAATTTATTTGCAATGATTCTTGTAGCTACTGTACAATGACTTGTCTTCAGTGCAAATCATCGTAAAGTATGGTACAGTACATGCTACTGTATAATCACACAGCATATAGGTATTAATAACAAAGTACAAATTTTACCATCTGCTTTAATTTTACACCAACAGTTTGCTGAGCGACTAATTGAGGGGAAAGATCTCACAAAACCCATTAACTGCACACAAGAGAGAGTGAGGATTGCATCTGAATTATTCAAACATTACAAAACATCCATCTGCAAGTAAAGGTAAAGTATCAAAAGACTACCATCAAAGTTAATGTAAATTAATTAAATGCAGAATGAGCCTCTTACTCTCTTAGAGATCTAGTACAAGGAAAGTATTGGGATATATAATAGACTGGATTGTGTCTGATATTGTAAGGAGGCAGTTACTATTCAAAAAATTATGGGAAATTAAATTTAAAAATTGATAATGAAAAGTTTATCTATCACATATTGTCATCAGTAGACCTATACTGGATTATAAACAATTTTCTTTGTTTTTTTTTGTTTAGGAAGAAAGGAACTCAAGACAATAAATTTAAAGTGCCTATGTCATGATTCGTGTAATTTATTATTTGTAATCATCGGTGTATTTTATGAAGACGTGACAAGCAAAATTGTCTGGCATTAGACAGATTGAGTTAAACAACAAAGTAGGGTTCAAATTAATGGGTAATAAAATGATACCATGCAGCTATATTTGTAGCAGGGTTGGCCGTTTGTAGGTTCCTGCCGTATCTCACACAGGTTGTGATGAGGGTCAGTCATGGCAAGGGTTGGGTGAAGCCGTGATGGCAAGGTGGAGAATGGAGATTAATTAATTTACTGTGCAATGTCCTTGTGTTGTAACACATGTGTATTGTAATGTGCCGTAATAGCACACTGAGACCTTGTGTTGGACCAGATGCCATCTTTACGCATAGTCATCATAACCAAATGTTTGCAGTGGTCTTATTGGATAAATAAGAGGTGATAGGTCTATACACACTGTAATTTGTATATATACTGGTATTATATTAACTTGATATTCAATGCCTAAACATTTCTAAGTTACCTTAATTAAACACTATGCATAACATTATGGCTTAGTGATCTTACTTACAATCTTGGCAAAAAGTTTATTAATTTAATGAAACACCTATAAAAAATCAATAAAATAGACAAAATCCCCTCCCCCCTGAACAATGTTTGCCGTATAGAGTCTAAAAAATTGTGTTCAATAGTTCATTGATGGCAAAGAGCACTATGTGTACTGTGTAGGTTTTTTATCGCTTCCCTGCATATCGGCAAACTGTTTGTCAGGTTGAGCTCGGTTTTCTGTGCTGCCGAATACTACGAGACCAGTCAAAGCCTTTATGGCATAATTATGGCTTATGTGCCCGGTTGTTGGCACATAGCCGCTTTATTGTTTTAATCAATTTTTAATAATTAACAAGAAAAATTATTAATTAATAACTATATAACATTTAGCACAGACAAGGTGGGGGCATTACTAACGCCCACTACACATAACGTATCTATATAAGTTCAACATATCGCGTCCAACAACGGGGAGGAGGGTGGGTAATTCTCTTCCATCCAATTTCTTGATGTGAACTGCAGCCCTCGTGGAATAGGAAAGGACAGATAGCCCGCTTCACCACTGATAAATACCGAAATTTCCAGTCACGTGACTATACCTAAATTAACTTGCGCGCGCAAATTACTTATTTCGCATAATTAATTTCAACCATAAATTATTCCGGGAAGCAATAAAAACTCTTATCGCTGTGGCAATAAGTTCCTTTACTAATCTTAATCAACATTCTATGGGGGAAGAATAGAATAAATTGCTAGTCATACTGGATGTTTCATTAGTTTTTGCCAGGATTGTAGCTCATTAACATTATATTTAAATCACACAAGGCAAAGCTGTTAGCTGTCCTAAATATATTTGGGAATATACATGTACATATTAAATAAGGTCAAATAATATAAATAGAAGCGTGGAACTTTATAAATCAAAGAGTTGGGACAGACTGAGTCAGTGGTTTTTAATATAAACATATTGAGATAACTTACCTGATTTTTTTGTTCAGTTTAAACCATACTTTATAGTTCCAAGTTCTAGCACAAATTTTAAAAATCATATTTCCAGTTTCAAAGAGCGACTGTTTTCGCCACAGCAAAATTAAAAAATTGAAAATTCAAGCAGATTGAGCGAAATTGTTTGCGAAATAGCGAAATGTTGCAAAATGAGCGAAGCTAATCTATTGAAGTAAACCGCTGACGATTATGCTTTGTCGCGGACGCAAGGTGTTTCACTGTATGGCCTTTAGTGCTTTCCAGCATCTGGAGGCATTACTGAGGAAAATACATGCTCGGGAAACGACCAAGATTCTTTCTGCATGTAATACTTATAGTGATTAGTGGTGCTCTTTTACAGTTGATATTGCGCATAACTTTCGCCAAAATATATTCCACAAACTATTAAGTTTGCAATGAATTTGCCAAATTTGAAACTTAGTTCGGAATATTTTGGCAAAAGTTATGTGCAATCAACAGTAATAGTATTTAATAGTATTTACTAAATACCAGCATAAAGGTTCAAACGGTTAGATGAGGAGACATGTTGCAGGGACTGGTCGCAGTGACAACTAGTTGCAGAGACCTATGGCTATAATGAACACACAGAGCGACAACTCTATGTGACATGTTCTGTTATTGTTCTGAAATGTTCTGTGATTTGTCAATTCACAGTTAATAGAATGAGATGGTTAGGCTAGCCGGCAAACTTCAAAGACGGCAGCAAAATATGTTGAGCACAAAGGGGAAAAATGTCACGTGACGAGATAGTGGGATGCTTGTGTTGACATTTGTAGGGAATTATTAGCGAAGTATCGGGTTACTGATACTAAAACGCAATTTTTTGATCGTTCGGAGCATTTACATTTACGATGGCAAGTGACATGGAAAGAAGAGAGATTTCTGAAGGCATATAGACCTTTGTGAGGCATAAATACTAAAGCAAGGAGAGTTTTCAACAGTCGCAAATGTCAGTACCATTTGGGGACGAAGAGCATGTATGTGAAATATAGTAAATCTATAGATGAAGATTTATATATCATCATGGTTTATGTTGCCATTAATGGCGAAGCAGAACCTTGTGAAGCAAGTACTGAATTTTCAGATTCCCTAAGTCCTGAACGAAATCGATGGCTGAAATTCTTTCCTGTGCTATTTGTGCAACAACGTTTGTATTTGAAGAATGGTACTATTAAAACAATAAATGACTTAAAAATATTAAATCACAGTTAAAACCGAACAAAGTATTTCTATGCTCTTTCAAGATACAATTGCATTTCTGGAGAAACATTCCAATAAATAAATTGGATAATTTAACATTGCCAAATGTCAAGCTACTGTGAATGTCCAAGTCTATAGTACTTTATATAATTCAACCCATAAAATTGTGTCTGGAAAATATGACTGAACTTTATATTATTTTAATTCATAATTCTATGCCAGAATCAAGTATCATAATATACATGCTGTTGCGATGTAACGATATTTAGCCTCGAAAAGTGCTCGATTTAGTACAAAAAAAGTGAAAATAAACTTTAATACGAAATTCCTACACAAGTTTACTGTTTACTTAGCGTTCTTGTCTATAGTACACTGATCTCAAAAATCCACTGATTGTCTGCGCGTGTGTCCCGCGTTTTGCATGTAAAAGTCATATCTCTGCTAAACATCCCCCCTCCCCGCACTGCTGAACATGCAATTGCAGTGCGATTTAACTATTTTAACTCCTTTCTAGTCCATAATATCAATGTTCAAGTTTAAGGTCCCGAGTCCTTTCAAACTAAAGGCGTATTCTACAAGTCAAGAAACTATACTCTTAGTGGGACAAGTTTATGAATGGGTCTGACCAATGACTTGTTTCCCAGCTGCACCTTTGCCACTCTGCTATGTCTGTCTTTCCCTGGATATGTCGCTATGATTCGTCCCAATGGCCATTTTCCTCTCGGTAAGTCTTTATCTAAGACCAGAACAATGTCACCATCTTTCAAATCTTTTACCACGTTCGTCCACTTCGGTCGGGTGTTCAATGTTGGTAAATATTCCTTCAACCAGCGGTCCCATACTCGTGACAGAATTGCTTGTACCTTACGCCATCTTTCACGAGGATTAGCGTCCATGTCGATCACCTCTGGTGCAAATTCGGTTTGGCACTGCTGACGCTTCTTCTTGCTCCTCAAATTCGTAAAGAACCTGCTAACTCTTGCTTGTATGCGGACTAAGTGCTTCCAGTCTGAAAACCGTTTTGGATCCAACCGCCAGATATCTGTGGGTTGTATCACTTCTTCTGCTTTCGTTGCCAGACTGTGACTACCATCAGAAACCACTGCATTTCCTTTGCTATCCTTCTTGTGGGCAGCTTTCGTTTCCGGAAGATTAACTGGAGATTTCGTCAAAAATCCATTTGAGGCCACTGCGAAGTATCCTGTACTAACCATACTGGACCATTCCACCAAAACGTAGACTCGGACAATTGCAACGGTGTTGCACCTCGCGTGCACAGGTCCACAGGATTTTCAGCAGTTGGAACGTGCTGCCACTGTGCAGGATTGCTATACATTTGTATCTCTCCAATTCGGTTAGCTATAAACGGTCAAAAGTCTCTCCCATAGCCACGAATCCACCACAGAACGTCAGCACTGTCAGAATAGAAGCTAACATCCTGCATGTTCATTTCAAACGCCCGAAGAACATTCTGCGTAAGTCGTAGGCAGAGAACTGCAGCCATTAATACTAGTCTAGGTACCGTCATTGGTAGCAACGGTGCTACCTTACTCTTAGAGGCGATTAATCTGCTAGAGCGAGTGCCATCCTCGTATGTACATCTCAAATAGACAACAGCTCCGTATGACTTTAGTGAAGCGTCAACGAATGTCACCATTTCTCGACGAGCTACTACCTTGTTCTCACATAAACACCTTGGCACATGTATTGTTGCGACATCATGTAACTGCTCAAACCATGCTGATATCCGAATTGCGATTTCATCTTCGATTGTGTCATCCCAGTCGTAGCCGCGAGCCCAAAGTTCTTGCAATATAACCTTGGCGACGATTACGAATGGACTGACAAACCCAAGTGGGTCAAATACCGCAGCAATCGTTCGTAAAACGTTACGCTTGGTTAGTGGAAGGTCGGAGGAGACTCTAGAAGCAGGTAGTGTCAGGATATCTTCTTTGCTGTCCCAAGCAACACCAAGGGTTTTAACAACTGGGTATTTGTCATCCGTAATTGTGAGCTGCACTGCTTGGTCTTCTACTGGGATCGCCTCCATAACTGCTTCCGAATTCGAAACCCACTTCCTTGCCTGCATTCCCGCATGATTCCAAAGTGAGCTTAACTGCCGATATAACTTAACGCCGATCTCGTCTGTCTCCACACTGTCTATCGAGTCATCCATGTAAGTCGACTTTAAAACGGTTTCTGCCGCTAATGGATGGGTTTCTTGGTGTAGTCTTGCATTCTCTTGTGCGATGAATTGCGCCTCCATGGGGGGCGAATTCTTGCCAAAGACCACACGAGTGAACTCATAGACATCGGGCTCTTTCGTACTGTCTAGATCACGCCACAGAACTTGAAAATATGGACGATCGTTTTCTTCAATTTCCACTTGCAGATACATCTCTTTAATATCGCAAGCTAATGCTACTGGATGATGCCGAAAACGAAGTAGTACATCGAAAAGCTCCTTCTGTAACTTCGGTCCAGGATTACTGACATCGTCCGTCTGTTTTAGCTGAACAATCGAAAACAATCCGTACTTTTGTCGTTGTCTTGTCCATTCGAATAATTGGGAAATGTGGCAAATACCATACTTTGGGATGGATCACTTTGTCTTTTTCCGACTTTCCGCAAGTAGCCCTTCTCCAAATAAGATTCAATTGTATGTTGATACTCCCTGCTCACGATTTCATCCTTCTTTAACTTCCGTTCAGTGCTACCAAGTCTCGATAATGCATTGTTTTTGTTGTCTGGGAGTTTTGGACGATTCTCTTTCCAAGGAATGGCGATCTTGTATCTAGACGTTGCACTATTGTGGCTGATTGATTCTTTCACCTTCTTCAAAGCTTCCCTATCTTCTGCAGTATGAACCATCAAATTCATGTTCTCTGTACCGTAGCTTTCAACTTCCCAGAATCTTTTGACCTGTTCATCGATCTGGCAACAGGATGTAATTTCTGCAGTACTCCTGGACAAAAATGTTCTAATGGTGTGCGTTCTACAGTCAGTTCCTCGCTGTTTCTCTGTGGCTCCAATGCAACTCCATCCTAGTGGTCCGAGTCGGGCTATTGGGCTTCCTGGTTCCCCACGAACATCTGCTCTTGAATACAGTAAATCTGCGTTGTCGACTCCAATCAATAAGTCCACTAAACCTTCCTTTGCTGGTGTTGCAAAATCACAACTCTGAAGATGTGGCCAGTTGGTTTTATTCTTTGACCAATCCTCTACTTTGTAGCTTCCCGTTACGTTCTGAGGGCATGTTTTGACACCAATTTCCTTGCGATACTGTCCGTTAACACTTTCAATCATAACCTCCACGGGCATGGACTGGAACGTTTCAACCTCATTGTTTAACACATGAACTTTAACTGTCTTGTATGGCTCTTGTAGCCCTAACACTCCAGCAACTTGTTCATTTAGAAATGTTTCATTGGAAGCATCATCCAGAATAGCGTTGACTTTAACTTTCCGACCATTTGCCTTTAACCATACTGGAATGGTACGAAGTGACAAAACTTCAGCAGTTGACACACTCTTATTTCTTGAAGTGTGTGTTCGTGTCTCTGCCCCCTCCCGTGTCAACGGTGACTTCTCGCCTTCTTTCCTTCTCCTTCGGTACAACTTCATGCAACAAGTTGTGATGGCTTCTTTTGCACCCTTGCACTGCGCATGGCTTTGACCTGGTGCAGTCCTTACCGACATGATTACTTGCAAGACATCGAAAACATAAATGTTTTTCCTTTGCGACTCCCCAACGATCTGGCACACTCAAGCCAGAAAATACTTTACAGGACCAAACCCCATGATTGCCACCACATACTGCGCAAGGTGGCTTTGAATACGGGCTGCATGTATCGTCGTTGTTGCTGCGTTGTCCATCTCGATTTGTGAACCAGGTTCGAGGTCGATAACCTCTTTCAGTTGGCTTGGACCTTCCTCTATCATACTCTCTAGTCTGCTTAGGTTCAATTCCTTGGGCCATTTCTGTAGCCTCAACTCGGATGATTACTTCTTCCTTTAGCCAGTCTCTCAACAACGCTTTCACTCACCGTATCTTATGTTGTTCACTAAGCCATCGACTGTAATTTTCCACTTGTCGTTCCAATAGTTTCTTTACCAGTAGGCTATGCAATGCACCATCTCCCAGTTCCCCACTGCGCCCCTCAGCTTCCAACTTCGCTACGGTTACCAGCGCAAGATCAGCAAACTTTTCGAAAGACTGAATGTCATTGTTCTTCAGAGTTGGCATTTTCTCTAACTGATCAAGGTAAGCTTGCAACTGACGACGTTGTCCACCAAACTTAGATTTTAATATGTCCTTAGCCTCATTATACTCTGGCGCCGTAACACCCAGTTCACAAATTGCATCAAGGGCATTTCCTGAATGACGTAGTCGAGCCATTTTAATATTTACAGGCTCACTCCCTTCATCAACTAGGCTGATGAATAATGCCCAAAAATCCTCAAATCTAGTTTTATCACCATAATAGACTGGAACTGTTAGTGGTTTAAGACGATGATGGGTTATACCAGTGAAATTGCTTGCAAAACTCGGAGGGCTTGCTTGGGTTGTTGTAGGGTCCGCACTAACATTAGCTGTGATTGTACTGGTAGTGGGATTGCTTGCTAAACTCGGTGGGCCTTCTGTGTCCACAACAGGTGCTGGACTATCATTGACTGTGGTTATTCCAGTTGGATTGCTTTCAGAACTAGGTGGGCTTGCTTCAACTGTGGGCGCCGGGCTTACATTGACTACTTCTGATACATGTCCTTGTTCAGAAATACTTGATAAGTATTCTTTGATTACTTGTTGTGCTTTCTCCACAGTCTGGTGTCCACCTGATTCAAAGTTTTCCTGTTCTTTTAGAACAGCTTCCTTAGCTTCAGCTTGGTTAGATTTAATATAAGTCGAACACAATTCATCCATCACAGATAAGCACGTTTCCAATGCATCCCACAAAGCCTCAATTTCAGCTTCGATTTCACCACGATTTAATTTACTCTTCTGAGCACACAATTTTTGTAAGTTATGTCTAATTTTTGTCACATTTGTTTTTCTTGCTCGTTTTTCTCGCTTTAATGCAAGCACTGTTTCTTCCAGTTCAAGATCGTTCTTGGATACACTTGGTTCATCTGTCTCATTAGTTAACGGCATTATGTCCCTTAGCAAATAAGCTTTGTTTTCTGTTTTAGCTGTATTTTTGTTCCAAAGTTATATTTAAGAAATTAATAATTTCACCATAAAGTTCCACAAATATATCAACAAATCAGAATCAATAACTTTAGTTTGTACTCACGCGTCCATTAAAAATTACTGTTTATCCCTTGCTTTCCTGGCTATCCCCAACCATCAAGTACGTGTCACGGTATATTTAATACTTTATTAATATAAACTGCCGTCTAATTCCAAATACCTCGTAAATTTTGCTATAATTCGATGTAATTATATCGTAGAAACACCCAATAAAGTTTAAAACAAAGCCGAGTTAACCATAAATTTATAAAACGTCCCCGAATATTGTTCCAATACCGATACAACTACGAATAAACGCTGTAAATACGCCAACAGTCCTCGAGCACGATGTTGTGAAATTTTCCCCGATTTTAATCACGAAATTCACTTTAAAAACCCCAAATTCCTCGAACTGTCCTGGCAGGATCGCCAAATGTTGCGATGTAACGATATTTAGCCTCGAAAAGTACTCGATTTAGTACAAAAACAGTGAAAATAAACTTTAATACGAAATTCCTACACGAGTTTACTGTTTACTTAGCGTTCTGGCGTATATTACTCTGATCTCAATAATCCACTGATTGTCTGCGCGCGTGTCCCGCGTTTTGCGTGAAAAAGTCATATCTCTTCTAAACAATCACCTTAAAACAATTCTTTGCTGGTCATGTTGGTGGTAAGGTAAGGTAAATAATAGCTTTATTAGCATGACTATAAATTTACAGTATTGCTAAAGCATATAGAAGTTATAACAATATATAGAGAGTGGTATTTCAACACATCAACATAATATACATGGTCGTCATTTTATTGTTTTTCGTCATTTTATTGTTTGCAAGTCAAAAATACCGGTATAAGTAATAGCATGAAGACATGGCAATTTGGAAAAACATATTGATCGGGACTTCTCAGTGACCGCGATTACATCAGGTGTTGTATCAGGTATTGTACGCTAACCTATATTACCAACTATAAGCTTAGACTATTTATTTTTACAACAATTGTGATATTACTTTCCTAACTATGTTTATCCTAACCCACCCTGTCAACTTTCCCTGTGGGAGGAAACCAGAGCGCCCGGAGAAAACCCACGACTTTCAGCAGAGCGTTGACTGACTCTTTTCACATGAATAATATAAAATTTAAATGTTTTGAGCTTTCGACTCGGCACTTCAAGCCTTCAGCAGAAATTTGGAATGTTTGAACGAGAACAGCGCGAATATTCAAACATTCCAACTTTCTGATGAAGGCTCGAAGTACCGAGTCGAAAGCTCAAAACATATATGTAACCTGTAAGGTAATACTAACCAACACAGTTCTGTTGTCCATCACCACTGAAACCTAGTTTACACACACAGGTATAATTCCCAGGGATATTGACACAATCAGCGTCAGCATGACACGGGGAAGTCGCATTACTACATTCATCAATATCTACAGTAAAGGGAGTAATATACATTATCAATAAATCAATGAAAGAAACGGAATGTTCTGGACTAGGAAGATCGTTTTCCATTCCTTGTAATTTCGTAATGTTCTGGACCAGAAAGATCGTTTTGCAGTCCCTGAACAAAGATGGTCGTTTGTGCTTGCATAAAATTTAGAATTAAGGGTTCACAATGGACACTTCCCGAATTTGGTGGTCAGCAACGTAATATATCCATTTACAATGGATTACATTATCCGCATATTGTTACGTGTAAACTCGAGCAATTTTGGATCTATTGTAAATCTAATATAGTGAGAACTTTTACTTTTCAGCAGCGTATACCAGGGCTTGCAAAGTGGCCGCACTGCCAGTCCGCCAGTGGCTACACAATATCAGATTCAGAGTCCAGCGTTCGGCATCTGTAAGTGGTGACTTCGACTACGTATAACATAGTTTATATACATGTGTTACAATCGTTAGTATTTGTCATATTCTAAATGACATACTCATTCTGTTTGATGGTGAAGTATTTGCGTAAAGTACGAATATTGAATAACCTTTATAATACTAATAATACACACATGCATGCACTTCGCTGACCCAACTGGAAAATTACCTCGCTTTTTCTCTTGGGAATTATAGGATACATTGAAAGCAATAATAGCTGCACTAAATACATATCATGATTTAAATCATAATGAAATTGTATTATTTTTTGTTTAACTTTGCCACATGTATATAAGTTATTACACTAAATATGTGTGTCACAGACATGGCATGGACACAGACTGAGCCGAACACAGACAAACACGTCGAGCAACCACAACAACTGAGCTAATTACTGTACACCCTAATTATTAATATTATCATGATTATAAAAAGTGTAAATATTCAACACTGACCATCACAATGTGTTCCATTGCCCTCGAATCCATCTTTACACGTACATGTAAAATTCCCAATGTCATTAGCACACGTGGCGTTCACATGGCAAGGCCACGTGTCACCAGTGCATTCATCAATATCTACAGTAATAGAAAATGTCAATATGAGCACATTGCCCATCAATCTGATATTAACATGACGTCTTACGCCCGTATTCTAAAAGCTCACTCACACTCAATGAGTGGAGGTTCAATCTGAGCTTCTCTTGAGTGTCAATGCTGTTCTTGAATAGCTGGATGGTAGGTGTCGTACCTTACTATGTGATTACTCACCATCCAGCTATTCAAAAACAGCATTGACACTCAAGAGAAGCTCAGATTGAACCTCCACTCATTGAGTGTGAGTGTGAGTGTGAATGTGAGTGAGCTTTTAGAATACGGGCGTTAGAAACTGAGAATGATCAAAGCCAACGATGGTGATATTGAATGAAATTGGATTACCAGATTATCTGGCCGGATAATTAAATAAAGCACGTTAGTATTTTTGCACAAGTGAACATAACAAATCCTACTAGTTGATTGGTCAAATTTGAAGTATTATATACAGGTGAATATAACAAAACCGAAATTTACAAACGCCAGGCTAGCCGTTTTGTGGAAGTTACTGATAAAGAAATAAGCGAAAATAAAATAAATTCAGTCCCCCAAAACACAAAAAACTTGTCTAAAAATTCCCCGATACTCACCTCGCCTTCGGCAAATAATTGTTAAATATTATTTAGTCATAAAGTACGGGTGTTCGTCATATTCCGACTTGAGACTATTGGAAAGAACATCGCCGTTTAACATTCATATAAACATGCATGGTTTTCAACTCCAGTCAGTTTTATCAATTATCAACAGCATTTCATTCAAAAGTATCTCAAAAATCTTTGTGCATGTCGACAAAACTATCATGACCTATACAATTTTGGAAATTAATTCGCACGCTGGTTGTTGGAAGAACTACCAGCTTCTCTAGGGTCATTTCAAGATAGAATATGAAACTGCACGTACCTTTTAAATCCTCTCAAATGAATTTTTAATTTAAAAATAATATCTGGACAATCTCGATTTTCTGGTAGATACCAGAGAAGTTTATTCCCCTATTTAATCGGATATCCAGCTACATACGTACGACAACCTGTGTATCCATAATTTGCATCAATGGTCCTAATCACTACCATACTTAGTAGCCCATGTTAAAGTTTTGAAGACGAAATATCCGCATTAAGTAAGATATAGCACACTGGCTAAAGCTCCAGACATTTTCCACTAGAAGATATTGTTCGCGCGAACACTCAAAAAGTAGGAACTCATCCAATATTTTCGCGGCGAATTTTTTCGCTGACCAATAATCACATTGTCAAGATTTGTTTTTCGCTTCGTTCCGCGCGAACAAATTCGCCTAGTCGAAAACGGGCTTTATCATCCACAAAGATCGTCCTGAAAAATCGTATAAGTACATGTAGTAATTGCATGTTGTTTAAATACATACCTTCGCAAAATGTGCCATTTCCGCTGTAACCTGAATTACATGTACAGTTAAATGAATTGTCCTCGTTTGCTGTACACTCGGCATTGCCGTCACAATTGTTCTGAGCGCATGGATCAAATACTATAAATATAAATACCATTATTGTACTAATGTCAAATCATAGTGCTGAACTTATGGGGCTGGGCAGAGAAATACATTAACTCATATTAGTATAACTATATATAGGTAATTATTGAAAATTCTTCACGCGGATTGCTTGCCGTTGAGGTGATTAAATAGAGAATAATACATGGGTGCGCGGAAATACCAGATTTATTTCGAGTGTTGAATATGGTAGCTATCTCACGAGTGAGCGCAGCAAACGAGTGAGATATTATGTTCAACACGAGAAATAAATCTGGTATTTCCAAGCATCCATGTATTTTGCTGTTTATTATATAAAGGACAGTCTTTGAAAAGCGATAATTTTTACAGAAAAGCGGTAATTGTAAAGCGATAATTCTCACATGTTAAATTATCATAAATAATCTCACATGTGTGATTATCAGTTTTATCAGTGCTCGAAATCTCTATAACTATGATAAAGCACTATACTTTATATACTAATTAACAATTAGTCGCCGAAGGCGAGGTGATTACAAGCCTATATTCACTGAGCCGAAGGCGAAGTGAATATAGGCTTGTAATCACCGAGCCTGAGGCGACTATATAGTGTTTACAAACTATAATCCACACAACTTTATAAAAGTTCACTTCAAATAAATTTATTTTCACTATAAATAGTTTGTTTACAAATTTGTTTACAAAATTTAAATCTCAGACACGGTTCTGTGTCGCGTTGCGACTAAGCCAGTTTTTTTCCAAATAAAAGCACGTAAAGTTTAATAGTTTACCTTGAAATGTTTTAAAACCATATTTTATAGCTTGTTTGGGTTTTTTCGGAATGCTATCTTCTTTAATTTTGGCAATTTCCTCCGCTGTTACTACGGCAAAACGAGCAGCCATTTTGAAAAAAAAACTATAGTCACTGACCAGTGACTATCACTTCAGAGACAGTGAATTTTGACCAATCAGAATGCAGAAAAATCAATAGTCACCTGGAAATTTATACTAAAACGCTATAATCACCTAAGTGATTTTCGAAATGACGACCGTGGTCGTTTTGTCAATTAAATGACGAAGAAATGTGTATTTTTTATTTTTTTTCCAAATAACTACCTACGAAATTATACTAAAAGAATTATTCACCTCAGGCTCGGTGATTACCGTGAATAAAAACCTCGACTTCGTTCTCGGTTTTTATTCACCGATAATAGCCGAATTCATATTAGGGACGGGAAACTCGTCTTAGACGGGAAACTCGTCTGCGAAAACCCGTCTGAATATGAATTTAGGGATGGGTAAATTCGAATTTAAGACGAGTTTCCCGTCTAGATGAGATTCCCGTCTAACTTTCCCGTCTGTTTAGACGGGTAAGTTAGACGGGAAAGTTCGGACGGGAAACTCGTCTGCGCCCGGATTCATATTAGACGAGTTTCCCGTCTGAGACGAGTTTCCCGTCTGAGACGAGTTTCCCGTCTCTAATATGAATTCGGCTAATCACCTCGCCTTCGGCGAGTAATTGTTAAGTATACTTAATTCTAGGGGTGCACCGGATTCCAAATCCGGCCGGAATTCCGGCCGGATTTAACGAATTTTCTGGCATCCAGCCGGATTTGGAGAAAATCCGGCCGGATTTAAATTTCTGTTTTCGCCTTAAAAAATTCACCAAGAATGGGATAAACCATCAATTTGGCAGCTTTAAAATTAAAAAAACACTTATATTATTATAAAATATTAAGTTATTAAGAAAAAGATATTTAAAAAAGGTTTAAACACAATCAAAAATCTAAACTGACACTAACTAAAAATAGTAAAAAACATAAACCGCCATTTTGAATACTGATTTATCCCTAATTGTCCCCATTACTGTCGGAGATTGTGACGAACACTCGCGTGACCGGAAGTAAACTGCTATAATTCAGCCAATAGTAGGGCTGCATTTACATGTGCTTATATAGCGAAATATTTTGTTGTTGACAGAGAGAGTTTTTGTGAGATTACCGATATATAGCGAAGATATATCATTAAAACTTTATTTAAATATCGATACGAGTGATTTTTCGTAGATACGTACTCTGGAGGCGAGTAATTTACGTGGCACCTTCAGACGGAATTTTAGATTATAAATATTATCGTGTACGTATATTTATAATATATTGTGAGATTATCGTGTATGTTTATTTCGTGACGACGTGGTTATATTTTGAATATTATGGCGACCAAACCCGATGAGAAAATCGCAGTTCTGGATGTTAAATTAAAGCAGTTACTTATTACATGTGGGAGAACCGTATCTGTGTTAGAATCGACGAAAGATATCGCAATAAATCGCCAAATAGAGTCGCTAAAAGCGCTTTCGAAAGATGTCGAACAATCGCGTCGCGAAGTCGAGCTACCAAAAATTACAAACGACGAACCAGAAGATGAAATAACGACATGGAATGCCGAAGTTGAAGAGAAATTATCGAAGGCAGATGAGGATATTAAGCGACTCGAGAAATGGCAAGACGAATACAAGCAAAAGAAAGAAAGAATCCATAGCGCGAGAAGAGCAGTTCAAGTTTGAAATGAAGCTTCACGAAACTAAATTACAACTTCAATCGGAACAGAATACGAAAGTTTTGGGTAAACAAACCATTGGAGCGGAGAAAGAAGTTGCCGTGAAGCTGCCAAAGCTAGTAATAACGAAGTTCGACGGGTCATTTACCGACTGGAATCGGTTTTGGGGGCAATTCAGTGAATCTATAGAGAAATCTGGCATCGCAAACGTTGTGAAATTTTCGTATCTAAAAGAGCTACTTGGCGACAAAGTACGACGTGACGTCGAGTCACTTCCGTTTACTTCCGAAGGTTATAATCGGGCGAAAGCTATATTGTGTGAGAAATACGGGAAAGAAAGCGAGATCGTGAAAGCATATAGTAAGAACATACTAGATTTACCGTTAATAACATCGAATAACCCAAAAAGGATCAGCGAGTTCAGCGAAAAGTTAACGTACTGTGTACAGTCCTTGCAGACTATGAAAAAGTTGGATGGCGTGAATGGTCTGACCTCATTGACACTTGACAAATTACCGGCGATTCGAGGAGATTTAGTAAGATCAGATAAGGAATGGGAGTCTTGGGATCTGGACAAACTTGCAGAAGCCTTGCGGCTGTGGGTGCGCAGGAATCCAGTTGATACATCACATCGTGATCGGGACGAAGAGCAAGAGAAGAAGAGAC